GTCCCACACACGCACCAGGCAATCACGTAGAGAAGAAGACACTCGCGCGCACACACATCCACGTGGTCAACGTACCTCCCTAAGGAACCCTTCTCCCCCCCAATCTGCCTCAGACGTAAAAAATGCCAGCAGTCTCATATCCTTCAGACGGCCCCACCTCTCTCCCTCCCCCTCCCTCCCTCTGTCTCCCTTACTCCCTCTGCCACTCACTGGGCGGCCGTCTCTCCCTTGTGTTGGTATCTGTAATGCTTCGCCTCCATCGCCCGGCGATGTCCAATGGCGGCCTGCTTGGCACCCTCATAGCCCAACTCAGCGATTGAGAAGGGCTTGGTCTTCTCTTTGCCGCCCTCATGCCAGCTGGCTGTCCATGCATTCTTCCCTTTGTTGTACCACACGCCCCTGACGCCGCTCGGGTGCTTCGATAGCTTCCTCACCGACGCACGGCCGGTGCGCTCCAGCTCACAACGATGCTGCTCCGCCAACGCCTGACAGATGAAAGCACACATATGAGACACTCAGCGGGAGAGGGGAAGAGGGGACGTTGTGCGCACCTTGGCTCTGTCGAAGCCATGGTCCTTGACATAGAAGTACTTCTCCTTTTGCTTCGGGTCGCCCTTCTCGCACCATGTTGCCCTCCAGGCCTGGTTCCCCTCATGCCAGCGAACACCCGCCACGTCAGACTGATGCACTGCAGTTGGTACCACACATAATCAATCGCGTTGCGCTGCTGCGGTGGATTCGCCTCTTGGTCTCCTCACCGGATTTGGTGATGACGGTCTTCCCCTTGCTGCCGGCCTTGCTGTCGGTGTCGGCGGCCCACTGGGGGTTAGACATACAGATGGACGACCACACACCACCGGCAGACACCGACGCACCATCCCCCTTGGCCGCCTTGGGCCTCCGGCGTGGCTGGGGAGATGATGAGCGGCTGCCGTCATCATGGCTCTCACTTCCACCCTGATCAGACTGGCGGGCCGCCCGGGCCACGCTGCTCCTCTGCCGGGTACGCTGATCCAGTGTCGCGTCGCCCTCTCGACTCATACGGGGGCGGGCCGGGAGATGAGGAGCGGCGGGCGGGGCAGGGCGGGGACAGAGAGGGGAGTCCAACGGTGGGTCGAGCCTGGGCCTCTTGCTGCGGTTGTTGCCCCCGTGCAGATGACTGTTGCGGTTGGGAGGGACACCAGGGACGCCGCCTTGCCCCTGCCCCTGCTGCGCTCGCTGCAGCCACGACAGATCGATGGGCATCGCCCGATCGCCCACACGCGACCGGTGGAGCGCATTGCGGTACTCGACAGCCTCACGGAAGGCCGTGAAGATGGCCGCGCGGGAGGCGCCGTAGCCGACGGGGAACTGACGCAGATCGACGGTCGTCGATGCGTCGTTGTCCCAAAAATAAGCCTCATAACTGTAGTTGGTCCGCCACGAGATGCCGATACTGACACAGATACGACAAACGCAGATGCACAGGTGTCGTCGGAGCGTCATGCACTTGGTCCTGCTCACCCTCCTCTGTCTGGCGCATGGAACTCGCCTGGCTGCTGGTCCCTCATCCACCGCACCAGTGCGCGAGCCAGCGCATTGCCCGTCAGTTCTCCCGCCACTTGACGGTCGGCTGGGCCGCACAGCTTGGGAGGAGGACTGCGGGCAGCCGAGGCCACACGGCCGTTATGGCCGCCATGCCCATCAACAGAGCTGCTTGGCGTATGGCGCTCCTCTGGGTCGGTGCACTCTGAGTGAATGGACACACAGCCAGGCAACCGGAAGAGGGCATGGGAGAGGGTCTGTTGACGCAATGTTGCGTCTAAGTGCTGTCTGGCTCACCGTCATTGCGGTGCGCTGTCGTCGATGCCTCGGCGTGGGGGAGAGGAAGTGGCCAATCGCTCCTCTCCTCTCTGGGAGGCCGCCCCGCCCTCATGGCCTGGGCAGTCACTTGCCCATCAGACGGCACATCCACACCTGTCGTCACACACACAGATGGATGGCAGTCAGTGAACGAACGAGTGAGACGCACCTGTTGGCAGCCACCGAATGGCTCTCGTCTGCTGGCCGGCCACTGTCACTGTGACGATCTCATACCGACCGCCACTCCCAGGATCGCTCGCACGCACACCCTCCAGCACAACGGCCAGCGCAGCCGCATCAGACGTCGCGTCAAGCCGAGCGATGTCACTGGCCGACTCGTCGGCTGGCTGCCCATTGCTGTCGGTCGGTTGGGTGTCATCGGGAGTGCTGCTGTGATCCATCGTGCCGTTGCGTCGCCGCTTGCTGGTGCGGATCGGTGGACGACTGTCATCATTCAGCTCGAATGACGGGGGCGGGGGGGAGGTGGCCGGCCAATAGTCGTAGTGCCTCTCCTCCATCGCACGGCGGTGGGGTATCGCAGCCTGCTTGGCGCCCTCATAGCCCAGGTCACGCACAGAGAACGGCTTAAACTTCCTCTTGCCGCTGTCGCGCCAGTGAGCGACCCATGCGTTGTTGCCCTTCTGATAGTAGACGCCCTTGACGCCGCTCTGGTGCTCCGATCGCTTCTTGAGCGCCGCCCGTCCGGTGCGCTCCATCTCACGACGATGCTGCTCGGCCAATGTCTGACAGATGGCGGGATGGGTGGACATGACAGAAGGAAGACAGAGAACAGTACGCACGCGTTGAAGTTTGGCATATGGGTGGTGGTGGGGTTGGGTGCGGCATGGTGGGACGGGATCCACCTTGGCCTTGTCGAAGCCGTGCTCCTTGACGTAGAACTTCCTATTTTTGTGACTCTTGTCGCCCTTATCGACCCATGACGCTATCCAGGCCTGGTCCGACTCACACCAACACACCCCCACCACCTCAGACATGTGCTCCGACTGGCGAATCACTCTCTTGCCCTCCTGCAGGGGAGGGGAACCATGACAACCCGACAGACAGACAGACATTAGACAGACGACAAAACCAAATGCGCCACTGTGCAAAGCTGTGTGTGCGCGTGTGTCGGTGTACCCGAGCTCGGTGTCGATGCTGCTGCTCTATCAGGATGCAGCGGATAGTGCGAGGATCAAGGCCGCCAATCGCTTGATCTCATCGTGGCAGACTGGCGCCTCGTGAGTCGCCCCTGCTGACGCGGCCAATGCAGTGATCTGACTCTTGCGGCATGGCTGGATCTGTGAGGAGGAAAATGCAAGAGCCAGCGCCCAAAAGTGGCCAAAAGTGCGATCTCCTGTCTTAGCTTGCAGTGGGAAGGGCCGGATATCGCTCGGCGCTTGCAGAGCAGTGCGCCAGCAGGCTGTGTGATCAAGATCTTTCGTTCACTCAGCCATTGAATCATCCCTGTGAGCGTCGTGATGCTTGAGTTGATTGGCGGGTGCGACACCATCGATGGCGACTTCGATGCGTCAATCGAGCGACTTACGAGGGCCAAGAGGGCGCTGACGGATGAGATCTCGCGGCTCGTTGCTTCGCGAGGCGGCGTGTCGCACCCCGCTGAGACCACTGGCGAGATGCTCGTCAATGCAGGTGAGCGGGGAAGGAAAGGACACCGGGCATGCCGGTCATCTGACTGTCTGTGTTGGTCCGTCGTGTGTGTGTCGGACGATCAGGTGGCGTGGTGTTTCCCGTTTCCCGCCGTGCGCTTCTTCTCCCCTGCATGAAGCGTCGCTACATCTCTATCCTGCTGATGCTCTTCGCTGACGGCCTCCCGCGAGATGCCGACGGCCATGTCTATCTGGAGACCTCACCTGCATACTTTGAGGCTTTGCTGGACGAGCTGACACTCTACGAGACCGGCCGCACCAACACCGTCGACCTGCCGCCCTCCAAGGCGGCTGACCCGGCTTACAGCGAGTACCACTCCCTCTTCATGCGCGAGCTGCCATCCTTCGCACCTCCGACACACAGCAGCCGCGGTGCCGCCATGACCAAGGCGGTTGATGCCGCATGTGACGAGAAGGCCCTTGGGAACGTCATCCAGACGTCGCTGAGCGACCTGGAAAAGGTCATGAAGAGGCTCACGCGGCGCAGGGAGGAAGTGGTCCGATTCCTCTCGGCCATGGAGCCCTTCATGAAGGGCCAAGAAGACACCGGAGACGACCTGGCGGTGCTAAGCCTGGACGTCCTCGGCCGGCAGGTCGTCATCCAGAGGCGCACGCTGCTGCGACTGGGAGCCGACCATCCCCTGCTGACGCGATTCTCAAAGTGGGCACACGCACAAAGGGCAGACGGGGCAGCACAGCAGGTCACATTGGGTGCCTTCGGCTGTCGATGTGTGTTTGCGCAGTGCTCCGCCCTGCTGGGGCGATCGCCGTGTGCGTCAGACCCCCACCAAGCACTTCGTCAACACAGTCGAGTTCGCTCGTCGCATCGCCATGCTAAAGGGACAGCTCATCCGGCCCCCGCTGATGGACGAGAGCGAGCGTGAGCTGTTCAGAGAGGATTTGACAACGTATGGTCTCACTTACTCGCCAATCCTGGACCTACCTTCCGGCCAGGAGTGGGTCATGCAGTCGCCAGAGGAGTGGGTAGCCGTCCTCGACCTAATGGACAGGCCCACATGCAGACCATCGCTGCTCTTCAAGTGGGCTCGGCACTCACGAACGCACCATAATGTTGAACGGGAGCGGCTTCCGCTGGTCTGTCAGGTCTGGGCGTGACGGTGGTGACTTCGGCACGCTGCTCGACAAGGTGGGCGACGCGAGCGGTCTCCTGTTTCTCATCAACCGCAACGACACACACCGATTCGGCGCTTTTATCGACGGCCGACTTAAGCCACCCACCGACCCCACACAGACCAACTACTATTCGGCGCCCCTCTTCTTCATCTCGATCAGCGGCGCCTATGCCCAGGTGACCAAAGTGCCCATCCCGGAGGCCAAACAGAAGGTGAGGGTGGCCGGTCGCGACGCCTCCATCAAGGCCGGCAATAAGGATTACCGCGGCAAGGTGGGTTCATGGGGGACTAACGAGAACAGCACAGTCATCTATGGGTCAATTCGCATGTCTGTGTGCAGATGACCATTGGCTACGGGTATCTGTGGTTTGGGTGGGCCAGCCCCGGCCCGTCAGACGACGTGCGCAGCCTGGGGCATTCCGTCAAGACGGAGGACTTGCCCGACAACGGCTACCTCGGCCAATTCAACGACCACAACAACGAAGGCACACTGGCGGGAGACTGGTACTTCACGTCAAAGGAGATGGAGATATGGCACATCGAGACCGCCAGGGGTGGTTGGTTTAAAGCGGCAGCACCGCACAGTGCGGTCGGGTTCGGGTCGAGGAAGCCGAAGGGCTTCATGAGGTGGCTGTGGCGGCGTGGAGGTGATAAGTAGATGGCCGATAGCCTTGCGTGGATGCGTGGTGCGTGGCAGTCCTCCTGGTGAAAAGGCGGACGTATATGTATACCTTATGTGTGAGTGTGTTGTTCGTGCGAGTCGACCGTGGCATTAGTCGTTTTTGGCTCTCTGACCCTCCCGAGGCCTCTATAAGTACTCTCTGGTGGCTTTGAATGGCGTGAATGAGGCAAGGGTCAGAAAGCGGGCCCATGGCCGTCTGCCTGTCTGCCTGTCTGCCTGTCTGCCTGTCTGCCTGTCTGCCTGTCTGTCTGTCTGGCTGGCTGTGTGTCTGTCTGGCTGTGCGTCTGCGCGGTAGACAACAAGTGCCACCGACCAGTGGTTTCCGCCGTCTGTGTTTCTGTGAAAGTGTGTCTTCCTTCGCCTCACCTGCCGTGTGCACAGTGAATAGCTAGATCGATCGACGCAACGCGCCCCCTCGTACGGTCATGCACGTGGCTCCATCCATCCATCCGATGATCCGCCGTGCTTGTGTGTGACTGTCTGTGGTGAGATATCATGTATCGTGACTGACAGACACAGACAGACAGACAGACAGACCGGTCGGCATGGGAGGCGCTTAGATGCTGTAACAGTGACCGGTCTGTCTATCTCACTGTGTGTCTCTTGAGACAGACAGACCTGCTGATCGGCTGATTGGCTGGTGGGCTGGTGGATACGATACATGGGGCTGGCTGTCTCGCCACGCAACGGCAGCAGAGATCAAGAATCGATACCACAAATGCTCGCTCAGCCTGGCGGTGACACACTCCGACAGTAACGAGACAGGGGTACGGCATGTGTGTCTCTGGCGCATCTGAGCTGATAAGAAAAAAGACCATCAGCTGAGCTGATGGATGCTAAATCGATGGCGGTACGAGCAGCGAGCAGCCATGAGCTCGGTGGTCAAGCTGCAGTGTCCATATGCGCTCACCTGCATCCACCAAAACACCATCCCGAAGCCCTACAATTTCTGCGCAAGATGTGCCTGTCTTGTCTCTCCCCAAAGGAGCTGCCATGCGGTCTTCGAGGCGTGTATGCCCAGGAGACGTTAAGGACATACACACACTCACTATGCACCCACAAAGCACCACCGAAAACCAAATATCTGACCAATTGGGCTGCGCTATGTTCTGCTTGGGGCATTTTGGGTCTCGTGGAGGGATCAGAGAGCCTTTTGAGGAGAAGATTTGAATAGGAAAGAAGTCAGAGTACATCACTCAATCACTCATCATACCCCCCTCAACACTGGAATGCCTGTGGTTCCATCACTCGAGCGGCAGCTTCCGGTCCCTGATGCTCAATATCTGCACACACACACGCGGGATGGAGGAGATGACTCGTGTGGGGTCTGATGGTATGTGTCTCATGCAGGCGTGTGGGCGTGGCGTACACACCAGTTTCTTGTGGACGATGGAGATGAGGTTCTCCTGGTCGGTCTTGCGGTCGCCCGTCAGGGGGGGGGCGAAGGCCGCCACCGGTGAGCGTCGATGTCGCCAAAACTCCTGAGTGAACGGACAGACAACAGCACACGGCACACCAGAAAGGGTTGTCGGTTCTGTCTTACGAGTTGCAGATGATTGCGAGTCCGTGGAGCAGCATGAACACGGCGCAGTCACACCAGTTGGTCTGCTGCGGCAAATTGGCCTGAATCATTGGCACACACACAGACGGGGGCCGCACACACACACACACACACACACAGATGGGGCCGCCCGTGTGTCCGTGTGTGTGTGTGTGACAGGGCCCACCTCGTTCTGTTTGGACTGCCTGCAATGTCGGGACCCTCTTCCCTCTTTCCGCCGTATCGCTCACGTAAGTATCTTTTGATTCATGGTGCATGACGGGGTGCGCAGGGGGCAATCGTGGACATCGTTGACTTACGTACATGGAGAAAGTGTATCGTTCAATTATACACACCCACGCACAGTGGCCGGTGCAGTAAAAGCCGAACCAACACAGATATAAAGTGTAGGCAGCGATTGTATGAATCGCGGCCTCTTCTTTCAGCCACTTCTCGGCCAGGGCGAATGTGATGTTGACGAGCTCGTCGTTGAGCCAATCCTCATCCGCCAGACAGACTATGTCGTACCTGCACACAACAGCCAATTCGAAACTAACACGTCACCTTCGCGCCCTCTGGCGTGTGTATGGCGTGATGTGACGCACCCGAGCACAGGTATGCCGTTGAAATGAGCCACTTTGAGGTCCTCGCCCTTCTCGTGTCCTTCCTCCACCAGCTGCAGTGCCGCAGCCGTCTCCTCGTCACTCACATTCAGATGCCAGGGCATCTGCAGCAGACAGACATCCATACGGACTGAGGGGTTGGTGTGCGTGTATTGTTGTTGTGTTTGATACAGATGACGCACCTTCGTTTTCTCGCCGCCCTCATCGCCAACTCGTCGATCTCCATCCTCTCATAAACACCACCGCCCCCGTCCGAGGAATCCTCCTCTGCGGCGGCCAGGGGGCACCGCGCCAGGTCCTCTGCGGTCTTGACGATCTCGCCCTGCCGCCCCTTGTTCCATGGGTCCCACAGCACCTCCTCCCCGAGGCCACCGAAGACGGGCGGCGTCTCGTCCTTCTCATGAGTCTTCGGGCGGCGGACGGCGGCGCGCTTGGCCTTTAAGTGGGGCTGGTGGTCGCTGCCTGTGGGGCTGGGCGGTGGGAGGGGGCTGCGAGTGCGCTTCTTGCGGTTCTGTCGCAGCACCATGCCGTGGGTATTGTGGCCGCTGGCGAAGGGGTCGGGCTCCTGCGGTGGGTTGGGGGGCGAGGAAAGCCGATAGCGGTCGTGCTGGGAGACGGTGGGCGACGGCAGGAGGGGTGAGGGTACCGGGCTGCATGAAGGTGGGGAGACATAGAGAACAAGTTGACGTCTGATGGATCGATGGATGGTGCTGCCCCTTTGATCCCTTTGCCCACCTGTGGTCGATGGTCATCTTGGCGGGGGGCGATGCGGTGGCGATGGCTGTGTGGATGGGGTGCGTCGACAGCGCCTTGCGCGAGCGGCGCAGTTCCGCCGCCAACGATTTTTTCACAGACCTGACAGACAGACAGACAGGAAGGAGACACATACATGTCGTCGTGCGTCGGTGTGACTTCCGTCCTCGGCTGCCATGACTGCCTGTCTGTGAGCGTACCCTTGAGCGGTGCGACTGTACTTGTTGTGCTCCTCTGGCACCTGTCTCTTGTCCTCCTTTGGCGGCGTGCTGTTGTCCCCCTGGCTGTCGTCCGCTGGGAAGGACGGCGTCTTGGATATCGTCTTGGATGCCAGTAGGGGCGAGGGGTCGGTGCCATGCGTCTCGGCCAACGACAGTGTGTCCGGCCGGCGGCTGATGGGAGGGCGACTGACAAACACACAGAGACAGACAGACAGACAGAGAGAGAGAGGGGGAGGGAGAGGGGATGAGCAGTGGTGTCTGCTGGCTGCAGGTGCACACACATACCTGTCGAGCGGGGGTGTAGGGGCTGACACCTGGACCTTCATCTTACGCAATTGGTCCGCCAAACGATCCCTGAATCAACACACATGTATTCACCGATAGCCGGCGATGCAGGTGGTGGGTGAGTCTTCCCTTCGGTGCCTACTTGGTGCTAGGCCCATTGTGCGGGGTATCCCTGTTGCTGTGGCCGTGCGCAGGGATGCCCGCAGGCAGGCGGTCCTTCTTCAACTCAAACGGCGAGACACTGAACAAGGACCAAGGCATTTGCCCATCCTCGTGTATCTGCCTCTTTGTGTCTGTGTGTCTGTCTGACCTCGTGGCCTTCGCCTCAGTGTCTTCCGACAATGTGCCCTCGACGAGGCCGCTGACCATCCCTGGCCCCATGTCACACACGTGCATGCCCTCACCCTCACCGAACCCCGTCTGCTGCCCATAACCTCCCAGCCCCATCTCGTCGACACACGGCGTTCCTCTCCCCCCTCTCCTTGCGCACGCGGGGCGCCTTGCCCTTGCCCTGCGGCTGTGCCTTGGACCACTTGCCGCCGGTCCGTCTGCCGGCGCGCGGTTCGTACATCTTTGCCATCAGCACACCTACGTGAACGGGGCAGCCCCGGCCATGAGGGTTAGGCCGCCGACTCTCAACAATTATGTCAGCCACCTCCGCACAATGACCGGCTTGCCGCCCTTGGTGCGGGACCCGCCCTTGGTGCGGGGCCACATGGCCACCGAGATGTCCCGGAGCACCGTCACAGCATAATATCTGCCGCCTGCACTGCTCGTCGGCGAGAGACGCATCACCTTGAGGGTGTGCTTCGCCTTGGTGCCAGACTTGATGTGGGCAGCCAGCTGCGAGTTGAGGGTGCTCTTGACGAGGTTCTCCACCTCGAGAGCGACTAATATCGTCGAACGGACCACCATCAGATCTCCACAAAGCTGACTATTGCACCTGCACCACAGACACAGAGATGACACAGCCAAAGCTTTGGGGCCCATTGAAATGCGCATCTATCTGATCTCACAGATGGCCATGCATGCGTCAGAACAGCCCAACAGAGCCTCACGACACGTCACACCATTGCAGTGCACCGCTGAATGCACGCCATATGTGATCTCACCGTTCAATGAAGGCCTCGAGTTCCTTCATCTTGCTATGGTTCACAGTTTCCGCCTGCTGGGCCATCGTCGTGGGCGACAGCCCTGCCCCTGAGAGGGCCGAAGACGACGCCATGATGACGCCCGCGAGTGCCGTGGTGCGGATAGAGAGTGAGACAACGGAGAAGAAGGGTTTTGTTGCTGGTCCGCACTGCTGATAGAACCAAATGGACACTTATAGGTCACAGAGGCTCTCCAGGGGCCTGGAAAGCAATTTCGATAGTGGCGGCTGGGATCAGGCTTGCAGATCCCCGCCAGACGGCCAGGAGCGCCCTTTTGGTTGTGCCCTGATGATGGCACCGCCTTTAGTGCAGATGACAGCCCAGTCATTTCCATCACGTCCATCCCCTCACACACCCAGCTGCCACTCTCCCTCTATATCGACAACATATCTACCTACCAGCCCATCTGGTCAAATGGGGAGCTTGAACCCAACCCACACACCGAAGCTGTCCCCTCCCCTCGGCCATCTGCATCTCTCGGCACCTGTCCACAGTGCCCTGGTGGCCGCTCTCGGACAGACCTTG